TAAAACCCAAACCCTAACCCCCTGCACCCCTGGAGGCTGGGCTCAAAGAGCCAGCATCCCCCCCCCCCGAATTAATGGCATAGGGCAAAGGAGGAGAAGCCAATGAGACAGGAGGATGTGCTTTATAGCCAAAAAGTCAGGAATACAAAATGAGATTTAGATCCCAATAGATCAGGGCCCTCGCAAACCCTTCAAACCCGTTTCTTCCAATTTTTTAAAACAAGCTTGGTTTCTTCCCCTTTGGAAGGAAGGTGGGTGCAATATCCATTTCAGGCCACCACCTTGACTGATCCCCTAAAGACCCCCTGTGCAAAGGGACCTGCCTTTCTTTCAGGCCGCCACCTTGGCTGATCCCCTAAAGACCACCTGCGCAAAGGGACCTGCGTTTCTTTCAGGCCGCCACCTTGACTGATCCCCTAAAGACCCCCTGTGCAAAGGGACCTGCCTTTCTTTCAGGCCGCCACCTTGGCTGATCCCCTAAAGACCACCTGCGCAAAGGGACCTGCGTTTCTTTCAGGCCGCCACCTTGACTGATCCCCTAAAGACCCCCTGTGCAAAGGGACCTGCCTTTCTTTCAGGCCGCCACCTTGGCTGATCCCCTAAAGACCACCTGCGCAAAGGGACCTGCGTTTCTTTCAGGCCGCCACCTTGACTGATCCCCTAAAGACCCCCTGTGCAAAGGGACCTGCCTTTCTTTCAGGCCGCCACCTTGGCTGATCCCCTAAAGACCACCTGCGCAAAGGGACCTGCGTTTCTTTCAGGCCGCCACCTTGACTGATCCCCTAAAGACCCCCTGTGCAAAGGGACCTGCCTTTCTTTCAGGCCGCCACCTTGGCTGATCCCCTAAAGACCACCTGCGCAAAGGGACCTGCGTTTCTTTCAGGCCGCCACCTTGACTGATCCCCTAAAGACCCCCTGTGCAAAGGGACCTGCCTTTCTTTCAGGCCGCCACCTTGGCTGATCCCCTAAAGACCACCTGCGCAAAGGGACCTGCGTTTCTTTCAGGCCGCCACCTTGACTGATCCCCTAAAGACCCCCTGCGCAAAGGGACCTGCGTTTCTTTCAGGCCGCCACCTTGATCGATCCCCTAATAATCTGTATTAATAAATCAGGAAAAAAGAAATGTGAGCCCCCCCCTCCAAGCTTTAGGCAAGCTGAACACACTATGAAGGAAGAAAGGGAGAGAAAGGCCCACAGAGCCATAGGGGCCACGACCCCCCTGGACGTCCTGCGGCTGCTCCAGTGGTCCAAAACCTCCTAGAACCAGACTCCACTCATCCACCCCGTGGGAAAACCATCCATGGACATGAGGGTCATCGAATAAGTGATTAATTAAAAAAACCCTGTTTGAGCAGGACCTTCCTGGACTCCAGAGCAGACCCTGACCTTTGATCGTGACCGTGGCCGAAACCTTTCTGAGTGTGTAAAAGCAAGCGCTGGAGGATATTTCTGCTCCAAACGCAGATGCATTTCCAAAGCGCCGCTTCCCCCTCCCGACAGACCCGGGCTCTTTGCTCCGGCCCTGCGGTTGCCCAAGGAGGACGCGGGTAGCCCAGACTCGCTCGGTTTCTCTCCGCGTACGTCCGGACACAGCACGCAGCCCCCTATCCTGGAAGAATTTCGAGGAGCAACTTCAAAACCTGTCATTCCAGAGAACCTGGAGGATTATTTCCTTTCGATGTTTCTGTTCCGTAAGAACAGCACGACCGGCCGACGGCGCAGAAGGTGACCACCTCGTCTTATAAGCAAAGCAGCGATCGCCACCCTCCGGCAGCCGCAAAGTGTGGAATGAGGTCCTTTAAATAAAATAAGACTAGAATCAAGGTCTACGTTCTGTGCAAAACAATATGGAAGGAAGGAAGACAGGATGGTGGCAGAGAAAGAGGATAAAGAAAGGGATTACAGAGAGAGAGAGAGAGAGAGCATCTTTTTTGGGGTAGCTGGAAGAGGGAGAGAAAAGCAAGGGGGGGGAGCCTTAGACACGTCAGCAGATCCTGTGGCTCCCCCCCCCACACACAGGCAGCCTCTCCCCCCCCCTTCCAATATTAGCTGGCTCACCTTGGCTGCTAAATTAATACCAAAATTAATCAGCAGCCCGGGCAGTGATAATCGGATTTTGAAGCCACGGCAGGCCAGGCCGCCGTGCTGGGCTCGTTTAATACCGACGGAAACGATGCCAGAGGACGAGAGAAATAAGGCCCATAAAGATAATTACCGAGATACTCAGGAGCAAATTAAGTAATCAAGGGCGCTTCTAAATCGTGTCTGGTTTTAAGAAGCGCGATCGGCTTCGATTAGCCAAGCGAGTGCTCAAGTGGAAATTTCGGTGGGGCGGGGGGGAGAGACGTGGGTCGGCTTCCTCGGCCGGCCATCTTCGTGTGGGCACCCCCTCCGCCTTCTTTTCCATCTTTGGGGACCCCAACCCTCACGGCTACGATCCCCAGCTCTGTCGCCACCCTACCCCAAAATCGCGGCTCCAGCCGCACGCCACGTCCTTTGGAGAGCATGGGGGACCCCAGAAGCTGCAGCCATGGGGTGCCACGTGACCGGCCACAGTGCCACCCTGGGGCATCTCCCGGGGCCTGTCGTTTGACGAAGCAACCGCAAACAGAGGCAACGTCGCATCCATGAACAGAACTGTCTATTAACGACGGATCCAGACAAGACAGGGGGGGACACGAGAAAGAGCGGGTGCAATACGGCCAGGGGCATTTTAAAAAAAAAAAAGAGAGGAGGAAAAGGAAACTGTTCTTTCTCTCCTGTTTAAAACACACGCTGAGCGCTAGAGAATCTTAATGCGCCGCCTTTGCCCGCCGGAGAGGTCACGGCGGCCGCCTGCCGAAAC